GAGTTGTCCAACATTTCCTTCGTGATCATGACGATTTTGATCATCTTGTCCGTCGTTTGTCTTGATCGACTTGCCTTTTGCTTGATCACGAACTTCTTGATGATCAACTTGGTCTGCCTCCATAAAAGTAGAATTTACATCAAAGAAAGGAGCAACAAGAGAATTACTAACTTGATGAGGATTTAGCATTGGTTGATGAAATTGATGACCAAATCCATGAGGAACTTGAAGTGGAGGGAGCTTATCGATATCTTGTTCCGTAATGTCAAGCAGCCAGTCTATTACCTTGCTAGGTTGGCTAAGACCAAGCCTATCTTGAAGATCATATAATTGAATGGCCGTTGGTACTGAAAGCCTAATTCTCCTGTCCCTCAATCCCCTCACTGTGGAAACCTTGCTGTGCCTATCTTTCCCACCGAAAGTACGCGAAACACGTACGATCCTTGGATTTCTAAATCCAGACCATTGCCTTGAAGTAGTAGTACTTGATGATGATGCCTTATGAAAACTACTATTGTTGCTCCCGTCATTGTTATTGTTGTTGTTGTGGCCCTCTTGCTTTGCTTGGAAACCCTTGTCCCTTGAATTTGTTATCATTGTAGTATTTCTGATTATAGTAATCTCGCCCTTCTTTCAATTGCTCCTTTTTTTGCGGAAATGGAAAGAAATTCTCCGATCGCTCAACTCCAAAGATCCAACTGAAAAAAACAAGAATAAAAATTAAAGGGGAAAAATAATAAACTGTTATATACTACATGAATTCATATGATTATTCTTAATTTCTTTTGGAATCCATATGAGTTTATATCTTATGGAAAATTGCTTCATGAACTAATTAAATTAATCACTGTTCAGTTCCCGATCAATAGATGAGGAAGAAAACATTTTCTCATCAAAGTTTCCAATACTAGTATTTATTTGCATCTATATATATATATGCTCCCCTAATTATTAAGGAGATCCTCCATATGCAAATCTGAAAATTGTGCTGAGAAGTTGAGCAGATGTTGCATTAAAAAGAATGGTCACAAACTACTATAGAAGATAAATACACACACACACACACACATATATATATATATATATATATATGATTAATGAGTTGAACCATTTTAATCTTCAAAGAAGTTAAAGAACTTATAAATTGTTTACAATTGAGAGTTAACAGGATGAGCAAAAGCTAGTAGAAAATCAGAGTTTGTAATGAGGTTTTTTCTTGATGTACTCTCACAAAAATCATACAAATTCAAACTACCGGAAACCCTAAGTTACCTTTACCTCTTATCAATCTATTTTGAAAGATATAATTAGGATCATAAGATGAACTGTACTCACATCAGACTGAAAACTGAGGTCGTAGAAGCTGAGATCAGATTTAGTTCTTGAATGTCGAAAACTTATTAACAAGAAACAGAAGAAGTAGGACAGACTAACAGGATGCAACAGTGGGATTTGAACCTCTTGCTAAATTATATATGATGCTCTCTCTTGAATTTCTTACTAAGCTGTGTACTTCATTTTCCTGTCAAATTCAACATCTTAGAGGCTCTTAGCTGCAGAGAGAGAGAGAGAGAGAGAGAGAGAGAGAGAGAGAGAGAGAGAGAGAGAGAGAGAGAGAGAGATATAAACTTCTTCTAAAAATAATAATCCACCATTTGGTAAAGAAAAGATGCTAACTAGATTTTACCACACCATATTGCATGGGAATGAAAAAGGAAAAGGTATGGCACATTTATGGCCACGTGGCATCTGAATACGCTAACACGTTAATTTAGACCAATCTTTTATGTATCTGAAATAGGACAACATAGCGTTATCATCATTCTACTCAAATGATATAATATAACACGTGAATTTGTTTTTACTAATGTCCTAAATATAGGACATATCAACTCCATTGTCCTCTCTTTTATAACACATAAATTTATACATTGCATAACTTGTGTTCACGATACCTATACTTTCTCGTCCATCTGTCAAGCCACAGTATAAAAATTTCAAGAATTTGTTCATACCACAGACTGAACAATCACTACTTAATTAATGAAAAAGTTTGGTCGTAGTTTACCGTATAATATTATGCAATAGGTTCTCTAGGTATAGATCTTCGATTATTTTGAAGGGGGACCATCTCACACTTATCAGCAACTACAAATAGCTTTATTGGTGTATTCCACATAGCATGAATTGAAGAAGGCATGCCTAGCTACCAGTTTAATCAAGAAAGCAGAAAAAAAATTATCTATACATAAACCCTAATTAATGTTGGAGAGAATGTTTTCTTCGATCTTTTTCCCCTACATGTAAATTTGTAGTGCAATATTCATATAAAAATCATATATATATATATATATATATATAAACTAAATGGTACTATAAGTGATTTAGTTATATAAAACATATCAATATTACAAAAAGAATCTTGACAAATCAAAGGATGATAAAAAAGAAAAACGAATTGTAAACGATCTGATTTATTCTACAAACAAAAATAAAAAGCACTACAAAATTGTCAAAGTAACTACATAACTCGAAAAGTTTACATTTTACTAGACGTAATTCTTATAAAATTACAAGATGTGAATTTCAAAAACTTAAACCATGAAACAAACAAGAAAAAACTAAACTAAACCCTAGCAAAAGCAAGAAAGCAATCTTAATGTACTTATTCTACTAGAAACCCTAATAAAAATACCAAAATAACCTAACAAAATTACTGATAATAAACCAAATTTACTAACTTGCTAACATTTGCTTCACCAAAAACTATATTTGTAGTACTCATAGTTTAATATTTAGCAACAGTTTTAGTTTCTTCTTCATTTTGTGTGGAGCAAAATTTGAGATTAAGAAGGGGCATGCATATTTATAATTAGTAAGTCTGAATAGTTAGTAAGATACTAGAGAGTTTGCTATATATCTATACACGTACATAACAGTAATCTTCAGTCATGCGGCTCCTAAAATTGTGGTCTGCAAGCTATCGTCTGTTTACAGTATACCAGTTGGGATATATATATATATATATATATATATATAATATATATATATATATATATATATATATATATATATAGCAGCATATATGTATGTACAATTTTGAGAGCAAGGATAGAAGGGTTAGACCTTCTAGAGAAGAGTAAAGGAGGGACCAAAGCACAGGTTCTTTAAGGCATCGATCCACTGAATGCATCGAGAGAGAGAGAGAGAGAGAGAGAGAGAGAGAGAGAGAGAGAGAGAGAGAGAGAGAGAGAAAGAGAGAGAAGGGACCTGGACCACTACATATCTACAGAATGCAATGAGATTTTCACAACCCCAAGTTGCACTAGTTTTCGCTAATATAATGTACATGAATGAAAAATAATATATACATAATTACATATATATTTACTCTTTGCATCTTTATTTCAAGTAGCAGTTTGATATATATATATATATATAGAGAGAGAGAGAGAGAGAGAGAGAGAGAGAGAGAGAGAGAGAGTTCTTCATATATACATGTGTGCATAAGGGCTCCTCAATAATCAAGACAAGTAGTGGAATCTTTCAACAAATGTGTGCATAAGAGGGCACCTCAATAATCAAGAAAAGTAGTGGAACCTTTCAGCAAAATAATTGAGAACGTACGCTAATATAGATCGAGTACTGTATTAGTTGCAGTTCAAAAGCCGAAGTCCTACTTTTTACAGAATTTCAAGACAAGAAATAAACCGGCCGACACTCTGACATCTGGCCAAGACAATTAATTTTACTTCTCCATAATAATAAGTAACAATTTGATCATCATTCCATTTGAACTAATTTTTAAGCAATATTTAACATAGCCTTATATGGTTTTAAACCCTCTGAAACTGATATACTTAAAATAAACATATGTTTTTGCAGAAACATAAACCCTAGCAAGCCTTCTCTAGCTCCTAATATATGTGTGTGCGCTATCAAAGGCTCCTGTCTCCTCAATACAAGAATAATGATAAGATCTACATAATATTATACTCAAAATTAGTATGCTTTTTATTGTTGGCATCAACCGAATTCTGGGGTAGCAGTTACGTAGGGATTTTACCAATTATAGAGATTGTAGTTGAACAATTTAAGTTAGTAAACCGAAAGCTATATTCAGAGTTCATCATACACAGAGAGCAGAGAAGTTATCTGAATATCTGCCCTAAAGTAGCAGAAAAAAGAAGTTAGTTAAATAGGGAGTTAAAGATTTTTTATCAAGTGTGTTAAATTCAACATTGACATTGCTCCTCCAACCAAGACAGCGGTTTTACTTTGTTCAGGAACCCCTAAATTTCCTGATCACTTTTTGGGTAAAAATTATTTCCACACCTTGAGTTTGAAGTGTTTGTTTCTCCCAATTTAAAGCCAGAGAGAACCCCGGCCTGCTCTTACCATATTAATTTGTTTAAATATATATAATATGCAGGCAGCTGGAGATCTGAGCAGAGCGGCAAAAAGGAATGGACAAAGCCAGTGATACTTGATAAGAATCTAATTGCTTCTTCACAGTGATTAGAATAATAACGATTCGTCATCAGTCAAATGAAGATGAAAATGAAAACTGTTGATGCACAAAACCGGAGGGGTCTTGGAACAACGTAAATCCGACTGTGAATCTGCAGAAAGTAAAGAACACAATAGGAGGAAAAGAAATATACATCAAAATTTAATTAATTATTAGTTGCTAAATGTATTAAGGACGAAAATTAGATATTGATCTTACACAAGGTTATACTCTAAAATTATCTTTTCCAAAGATTAAAATAAAGTTTTTTAATAAATACTAGCATATGCCCCACACTTTGTGTGTGAAAATAATTTTAATTTTTATTGTAAAATGGGAAGGAGAAAGGAAAAAAAAAGAATGTGGATTAGAGAGAGAAGTTTTCTTTTTTGTATTTTATTTTTCAAAATTAGAGGACGTTAGGATCACCTGTGGGTGAGGGTTTAAAAAAACTGCAAAATTTAATTTGTGTGAATTTATTTTACTGCCCATGATTTTTTTTGTAGTAGGAGACAAAATTATCGTTTTACTCTCTTTTGATTGACAAAGAGGGTTTTATTAATGTAGTTTATGTTCATTTTGATAATACTGATTAGAAGAAAAAGAAAAGGAACAGATGAATGCATAGAGAAGATGAGAGAAGGATGGTTGCTCTTCCTCTTTGCTAAAATTCACAGAGGGATATTTTATTTCATTAATGCCTCTCTCCACTTTTACACAACGTGCAAAAGAGGAATATTATAGTTAACAAGAGCTAAGATGGATCAACACATCATAAAATTGATCTCAGCCATTCATTACCTAATAACTAGGATCATCACACATGACACTCATGGCCTTACATCTTTTGACTTCACACTTGGCAGATATGCTCAAGTGAATACACAAATAAACTCATCTTATTTCACTAATACTAATCAGCTATAGACTTATAATTCAACACTCCCCTTTAAGTCTTGAGCTGATTTCACTCTGAGCATATTTCTAAGATAGTTGAACCGATCCTTAGCCAAAGGTTTTGTGAAAATATCTGCTAACTGCTCTTTAGTTGGACAGTACACCAAATTTATAATTCCTTCTTGCAGTGCATCCTTAATGAAATGATAGCTTCTATCTATGTGCTTAGTCTTATGATGAAACACAGAATTCTTGGTGATTGCAATTGCAGAGGTGTTGTCACATTGCAATGGAGTTGCTTCAGTTTGAAGTTCTCCAAAATTTTCCAATACAAATCTGAGCCAGATTGCTTGTGCAGTGGCATCGGATGCACTTATGTACTCTGCTTCTGCAGTAGATAATGCCACAGTTTTGCTTGACTGAAGCCCAAGAAAAAACTCCACTTCCAAAAGAAAATGCATATCCAGATGTACTTTTGCTATCATCTAGTGATCCACCCCAATCACTGTCACAATAGCCAATCAACATTGCCTTCTTGCCTTTCGTATACTCCAAACCATAGTTTAGAGTCCCTTTAATGTATCTGAGCACACGTTTGACAGTTCCAAAATGCTTGCTAGTAGGACAATGCATAAATCTAGCAAGTAGACTAGATGCATACATAATGTCCGGCCTAATAGTTGTAAGATATAGAAGACTCCTAACAATGCTTCTGTATAATTCTTCACTTACTGCTCAACTTCCATCTTCTTTGGTTAACTTCTCAGTTGCCACAAGTGGTGTGATCACAGACTTGCACTCATTTAAGTTGAACTTGTTTAGCAAAGAACTTGCATATTTCTTATGGTGAATAAAAATGCTAGAGTTGGTCTGAATTATTCCCATTCCAAGGAAATGATGGAGAAGACCCAAATTTGTCATTTCATATCTTCCTTGAATTCTTCAAGCATCAGTCTATCACTAACAGTATAAACTATGTCATCCAAATAGATAGAAACAATCAAGATGTTCTCTCCCCTTGTTTTGGTGTACAGAGTTGGTTCACTTAAACTTTTCTCAAAACCACACTGAGAGAAATATGTGTCAATTTTTCCATACCAGGCCCTTGGTGCCTGTTTTAACCCATAAAAAGCTTTGTACAACCTGTAAACTTTATCTT